CAAACTTGTAGAAATATTAGAGCTTTTTCAGATAGCACTGGCATTCCCAGCAAAGGAAGTGGCATAGAGAGAGAGCATGAAACACTCTTTGAAAAACTCCAAGTTCTATTCTATATGGCAAAATCATATAACAGAGAGGAAGACTTACCTTAAGAAAAAGAATATGTATGTTACATTGTTTGTAATAGGAGTCCTGCACATAGGGAAGTTTCATGGGAAATTTATAAGGAAGTTTCAGCTCTCAACGGTAGTGATTGTATAGCACTATTCATTTTGTGGGTTGAACCAGACTTGCTTTGTATGGGATGTGAGATGGAAGTGGGATTTCCATAGCCACTTTTCCCACCCTCTGAGTGTATATGACTCCAAATTTACCTTTTTCAAATGTGTCTAACTTTGTCCCTTTTAACTGCTAGTTCATAACCATTGAATGAAATGATGTTGTCAGTAAGTGAAGACTGTAATTCAAATACTGTCAGGGAATTAAGACCATAATTGCAGAGTCTAGATAAGTAATAAATGATTTCTCTTTTGTTTGTCTAGGCAAGCAAGTGGCATTCAACATTAGATTTAAAAAAAAAAAAAAACTATAAAAGGACATGGACTAGAATATAAAAGGTCATAACTGTACCCATTCTTGACTTATCAGCTATCTTATTATCTGACATTTTGCATTTACAATAATAGTAAAACTACTATCCGACTGTTTCGTGCTTTAGTGACGTACATCTGGCAATAACAAATGCCGAGGTGTGAGGCGAGAGTAACGCTGGCTGTGATGGTTAAGGTTATTTGTCATCTTGGGTGGACCATGATTCTCAGTGGTTTGACAGTTATGTAATGATGTAGTCATCCACCATTTTGTAATCTGATGTCGTCTTCCTCCGTTTTCGTGTAACAACGATTTTCCTGTAACGACTTGGTCTTTGGAACTTCACCATGTTGATAAGTGAGGAGTGGGTGTATACACTTAAGATATATAAGAACTGTTTAAGAATAGAGATACCCTATGGTAGTTGTGACAAAGTGAGATTTGGCAGTTAATGACTTTTTTTTTGTCCTTTAGGTGAAAGTCTACAGCACAAATCAGTTTCTCAGTCAAAAATTTATACACAAATTGTTTTGTATCATTGATTGCAGTCCCCACAGTGTGTCAGCACTCTTCCTCTTTCCACCGCAGGTTCCCTGTGTCCATTCATCCAGTTTTTCTGTCCCTTCCTGCCTTCTCATCTTTGCTTTTGGGCAGGTGTTGTTGTCCATTTGGTCTCATGTATTTGAGTGAGCTAAGAAGCATGTTCCCCAAGCGTGTTATTGTTTGTTTTATCGGCTTGTCTAATCTTTGACTGAAAGGTGGACTTTAGAAGTGACTTCAGTTCTGAGTTAGTAGGGTGTTCAGGGGCCATAGTCTTGGGTGTTCCTCCAGTCTGTATCAGACCAGTAAGTCTGGTCTTTTCTTCTGTGAATTTGAATTTTGTTCTGTATTTTTTTCCTGCTCTGTCCAGGACCCTCTACTGTGTTCCCTGTCAGAGCAGTTCGTGGTGGCAGCCAGGCACCATCTAGTTCTTGTGGGCTCAGGCTGGTGGAGGCTGTGGTTCATGTGGTCCATTAGTCCTTTGGACTAGTATTTTCCTTGAGTCTTTGGTTTTCTTCATTCTCCTTTGCTCCAGACGGGATGGGACTAATAGATGTATCTTAGATGGCCACTCCCAAGCTTTTAAGACCCCAGATGCTACTCACAGAAAGTATACTTTTATAAATTGAAATCAGAAATCCTTTTGGATGAAAACTTTGAAAATATTTAAAATAGCTAATTTAAAGTCTTTGTCTCGTAAGTACGAGGTCTAGACTTCCTCAGGAACAGTTTCTGTTGACAGCTTTTTCCCTGTATAGGGGTAGTACTTTCTTGTTTCTTTATGTCTAGTAATTTCTATTGAAAATCAGGTATTTAAAGTAATATAATGTGGCAACTCTTGAAATAAGATTCACTCAACCCTAGGATTTGTTGTTTGTTTGTTTAGTGACGTTTCTGAAATACTTTTGTAAAATCTTTGTTATGTGTGGCCACTGAAGTTTTTGTTTGGTTTGCTTAGTAGTCAGCTGATGATTGGACATACCAGTGGCCATCATGTAGATTCAGACTTAGCAGCCCCATGTGTGTCAGAGTAATAACTGTGCTCTATAGGGTTTTCGATGCCTGATTTTTAGAAATAGATTGCCAGGCCTTTTTTCTGAGGCACTTCTGAGTGAACTCAAACCTCCAACTTTTTGATTAGCAGCCGAGAGCACGTTAACTGTATGTACCACCTAGGGACTCCAATGATTGGACATAGATTTCCTTATATGTCTGGAACCCAGTCTTGCCTGAGCTTCTCTGTTTGCGTGCTGGGATATGCCTTCAACACTTAGCCAGGCAATTGACAACTTCCCCTTAGCCTTCACTTCCTGCTTGCGCAGTCTCAAGTTGAGCCAGGGGTGTTTAGGGCCTTCTCACATGTTTCCTGCAAACGCACACAGCCCTGTATATGTGCGTGTCCTTGTAGATTCCCAGAAATATGTTGGAGCTTTTCAAAGCTCCCTGTTATTGTTAGTTGCCGTCAGCTCAGCTCTGACTCATGGCACCCCGTGTGTAACAGAACAGAATGTTGCCTGGTCCTGTGCCATTTTCATGATCGTTTTTATGTTGAGTCCAATGTTGTGGCCGTTGTGTTAATCCATCTCGTTGAGGGTTTCCCTCACATTTGCTGGCCCTCTACTTTATCAAATATGATGTCCTTCTCCAGCAGTCAGTCCTTTCTGATGACACGTCCAAAGTTAGCCAATTGAAGTCTTGGACAGTAATCTGTGATCCATAGAGTTTTCATTGGCTAATTTTGTGAAGTGGATTGCCAGGTCTTTCTTCCTAGTCTGGCATAGCTGGAAACTCTCTAAAACCTGTCTACCACAGGTGACCCTACTGGTATTTGAAATACCGGTGGCATAGCTTCCAGCATCATAGCAACATGCAAGCCACCACAGCACAACATATTGTCACATATTATAAATGCAACTTCCTTTTAAGGATCCAAGTTAAATTTAGAAATGGCAGAGTTTGAAAATGTGTACTTTTAATTGTAATAGTATGTAACTTTTTGTTCATAGGTTGTTCCAGTTTTGGTGCATCTCCTGACTGCTATCAGCAGTGTTAGGCTTTACATTCCTAAAGACCTTCGACCAGTGGACAATAGGCAGAGTGTTTTAAAATCAATACAGGTATGTGTGTTAATTTTATAAATCACATATAAATAGTAGAGTTTATAATGAGACAACTGAAATGCTTTTAAATATATTACTTTCTTTTAGCAGTGCTTAACGTTATTTATAAACACCAATAGTGGCGGTCCTTTTTAATAAAAATAGTGGTAGTGGATCTACATGTTAATTGCCCCCTCTTTGAATCCACCAATAAAGTAAGTTACTAAAGGGGGACTCACAAAGGAAACCATGAAACTATTCATTTTCACTATTATATGTTAAATATGTTTGTTTTATTCATTACAAGTGAAGATAGGTATAGGTTATATTAAAAGTTTTGTATGTAAAATCGTTTATGAACCGTTGACATTCACATTATTTTATTCTTAACATGCTTCTCTCCTCCGCACCCAACTACCTGTAGTCTCTCCTACTTTAAGGCCAGTCTAAGATCCGAAAATCTCCCAAGATACCAGCCTATAGCAAGCTGAACTCACGTGCTCATTATATTCAACAGTTACTCATGTTAAAAAAAAAAAGATTGATAGGGATCAGGACCCTTAAAGAAGTTTGTATTTTTTGATTCAGTAGTGCCGTC